TGGGGTGTTCGTTACGAAACACAACCTAGAGACAAATGTGTCAAATATACCTTGCCTGTTGGGCATGAATATTCTTGGCCAGTTGCCAGAATTTCTTACAAATATTGTCGGATCGACCACACCAGGTCGGGGATCCAAGTTGGCCAGGTTTGCCAAGACCAGAGGAAGGATATCAGTCCCGGCAAACACGGTCAAGGCAATCACATTAAAAATTGGTGATAGAAGCGTGAATGGTGATGTGATGATAGAACCATGTGGCGCCGCACTGAGGGCAGGCGTCGTGTTACTGCGGACATACACATCAGCGGAAAACGGACTAGTTCAAGGGTTGGTAGCAAATGTTTTGGATGAAGAAATTTTTATACCGCCTAACACTCTGGTAGGAGTACCACAGAACGTCGAGGTACAACGGTCGGCACAGTGCATCGAACTGATCAATACCAGTAGTAATGAAGTAACAATTAGGTCGGTCAATGTGACGGCCGAGGTGAAGAAAGAAGATGGCCGATCATATACATTCCCGGAAACTGAGGACCCAAAACTAAATGAATTGCTGAAGAAATACAGTGATATATTTGCCTCGTATGAGGGTGATTTGGGGTACACGGAAGTAATAAAACACCAGATACCCTTACTACAAGACAAGCCGGTGGCGCAACCTTATCGAAGATTGCCACCAAGTCACTACTCTGCGGTGAAAGCACACCTGAACGATCTACTAAAAAAGGGAATTATTACAACCAGTACGAGCCCATATGCGGCACCGATTGTAGTGGTAAAAAAGAAGTCAGGGGAGATAAGACTGTGTTGTGATTACCGGAAATTGAACAATATCACAAGAAGGGATGCATTCCCCTTGCCTCGTATTGATGAATGTCTTGATGCGTTGGGGGGAGCAAGATTTTTTTCTACCTTGGATTTGGCCAGTGGCTACCACCAAGTGGCCATGCACCCCAACGATCAACATAAAACTGCATTTATTTCTCCACTGGGACTGTACGAGTGGACCCGTATGCCGTTTGGTCTAACTAATGCACCTGCTACATTCCAGCGAGTAATGCAGAGTGCTATGAGTGACTTTCTATTTCAAATAATGTTGGTGTATTTGGATGATATACTAGTTTATTCAAAACTTGGGAGGACCATCTAGAAAGATTAGAACAAGTGTTTCTCCGTCTTAGGGAGATAGGAGTAAAGCTGAACCCAGACAAATGCTGCTTCGGTCTGAAATCGGTACATTTTTTGGGTTACGTGATTTCGTCGGATGGCATCGCCACTGACCCAGATAAAATTGCAGCTGTTAAAGAATGGAAACAACCAACAACTACGGTAGAGGTCAGGTCATTCTTGGGCTTTGCTTCCTATTATAGAAAATTTGTGCCGGGTTTTGCAAAAATTGCCGCACCATTGCATGACTTGGTAAACAAAATGACAAAGAAACACAGTAAGGAGAAAAAGAAAGGTAAAACACACCTGATAGGTGAATTATGGACTGATGAATGCCTGAACTCGTTTAAACTCTTGAAAAAGGCCTTGACAGAGGCACCGATATTGGGATACGCGGACTTTGACAAACCATTTCGGTTAGAAATTGACGCCAGCTCGAAAGGTCTGGGAGCTGTGCTATCACAACAACAAAAGCAAGGTTTCAGGGTTATTGCTTATGCAAGTCGAGCTCTGAAGGAATCAGAGAAGAACATGACAAATTACAGCGCCATGAAACTAGAACTTTTGACATTAAAATGGGCTGTGACGGAAAAATTCAGGGACTATTTTTTAGGTGCTAAATGTGTGGTATACACTGACAATAACCCCTTGAGTCACCTAAAGACAGCAAAGTTGGGATCCATCGAACAGCGATGGGCAGCAGAATTGGCACTCTTTGACCTAGAGATAAAGTATCGCCCGGGGCGGTCCAATGGCAATGCGGACGCCTTATCAAGGAATCCTTACGAGAGACCGGGTGATGAGGAAGAAACACTGACAGGAATATGTGAGGTCAGAGCGTCAACAGATATCCTTCATGGGGTACAAGTGATGCAAAACGGGCAGACCGGGGTGGAGCACATATCCACGGAACCCGAACATATGGACAGTAGTGATTTTAATTGCCTTAATCACCAAAAGATAAGAGATGCCCAGAGAACGGATAGTGGCTTACAACCGCTATTGAAATACGTCCAGGAACAAAAATTCCCAGGAAGAAGGGAAAGAGAACAATTTGGTCGAGAAACAAAGAAAATACTGAGTCAGTGGAACCGTCTCAGTATAAAGGATGGTGTTCTCATGCGGAGAATTCATGACCAAATTGATGGCACAATACACCAGGTGGTGGTGCCGGGACAATTACGAGGAGAAGTGCTAAGGTTGGCACATGACAGGGCAGGACACCAGGGTCAGGACAGAACCCACAAAATATTACGACGGAGGTGTTACTGGCCCAATATGGAAATGGAGGTCAAACGCCATTGTGAGGCTTGTGTGAGGTGTCAGCATGCGAAAATGCCAGTTGTCAAAATGAGACAGCCATCAGGACACCTACTGGCGACAAAACCACTAGAGATTGTGGCTATGGACTTTACGTCGTTGGAGCAATCATCGGATGGGACGGAACATGTGTTGGTAATGACTGATGTATTCACCAAATGGACGGTGGCGGTGCCCACGCGAGATCAGACTGCCAAAACAGTGGCAAATGTCTTAATAGAACATTGGTTCATCAGATATGGCATACCAAGACAATTACACTCTGACCAAGGAAGGGCTTTCGAGTCAGAAGTAATTAACCAACTGTGCAGCCACTACGGGATCAACAAATCTAGAACAACCACATTTAATCCGAAAGGAAACGGACAGTGTGAACGGTTCAACCGCAGCATGCATGATTTGCTGCGTACGCTAGAACCTGAACAGAAAAAACGTTGGCCTGATTTTCTCCCAGAGTTGGTATATCTATACAACTGCACACCACATGCCACAACCGGCTTTTCGCCATACATGTTGCTGTTCGGACGAGAGGCTCGACTCCCTCTTGATTTGTTCCTAGGAAAAAGGGAGAGTATGACTGGCTCATACACCGCACTGGAATATGTGAATGAACATATGAGAAGAATTAGAGAAATGTACAGGGTAGTACAGGAAAGACTAGAACATGAATCTCGGCGAAGGGAACCGCCGATACAGACGAAGGACCCGCCACTCAAACTGAATGACAGGGTATTACTGCGTAGCCACCCGTTAGGCAGAAACAAAATCCACGATCTCTGGGGACAGGAGATATGGCAAGTCGTGGAGATGCCTAAAGTAGCAGGTGGCCCCTTTAAGATAAGACCCATCGATCACACCAAACCGGATCGGTGGGCGAATATTGCTCAATTAAAGAAATATTGGAATAGGCAAGAAGAGCAGTTACACACAAGGAAATCCAAGACAATTAGGGAACCGGAAGTTATAACGGAAATTCACATACCCATTCCGGAACCATATCACCATCAACAGAACAACAGCGATACGCAAGGGGAGGATACCGGCAACAATGAGGATCCCGGTCCCTCCAGAAGCAGAGAGACGGTAGACCATCAGATAAGTGGTCCGCGGAGAAGTTTAAGGAACAGAAGGAATACGAAATTTTTTGTCAGCAACCATCAATTCTTTCATGGTCGCGCTGGTATGAAAACAGACTGTTCAAAGAGCTATAGAAGTGAACTGGTGAAGGCACCAAATGGAAAGGGTGGATGTGAATTCTAGAACTGTTTTGTGTCTCAGGAAGATGATGTAGACACAGTTGATATGTGAAATAGGTAGAACTGTCAATCGTATACGAATGGAACGTCGTGGACAGTGAGTGGAACAATAGATTTTTTTTACGACTGTGCGATTGACTTTGGAGGAGTGCACCTGCCAGGCGTTGTTTGTGGTTGAAAACACACAAAAAAAGCAGGGGTGGATGTAACTGGGGTAGGCCTAACTACCAGTTACAAATGATAACGAACGAGAAGCCGAGACACAGTGTTGGTCTGATGCAACCGATAACAGGTGGCTTATTGGGTCGGGCTGATAACAACCTCAAAGCCGGCGCGTGCTATTTTGGGAAACGGTATTCAGACGGCCTGTCGGCTTTGATGGATAGGACGCAGATGTTATTTTACGGTCTGTACGTTTGAACTACGCAACTGGTGATCGGAGATCGAGTACAAGTATCGATTACGGAGGGATACAAGTACGGAGACGAGTACGGATACAAGGCATAAATAGGAGGGCACGGCAGGACTCGTTCTCTCTCTCTCTTCCCGTTTCAGCGAGCTCTCTTCCATCTTCATCGCTCGCTTAGATCAGTCAGTCTGTGTGACTATGTCAAGTCGGTTATAGAACGGGTTAGCCGTATTGTGTTAAGGAGGATTATAGACATGTGGATTCAGTTATATAAAGCCTAGTGAAGGACTGTTAGGGGTCAGTTGATTCAGACTATTATTGAGAAGCATTCCTGTTGATTTATTGTGTTATTATGAAGCATTTCTTGATTCATGTAATAAAGGATCAATAGCGAACCTGCATCTTGAGTATCTATACTGTGGTCAATGTTGTCTAGAATGAGTGGTTAAACTCGTTAACACGTGGCACTACAGGCAATTAGGTCTCATTACATGTGGCGTTGCGAGCATGGTAACTGTTGGCTCGTTACATTTAGAATACGAAGAAATGAATTATTTCATTCACATTATTTTGATCTATAGATCTACTTATCAAGACGTACGCTATGAAATGTAGGTATGAAATGTAGTAAAGAACATTGCGTTTTGACCAATAACTATTTTATAAATTATTTTTTCCAAACAAGTATAACAATAAAAATATATAGGCCTGTAATTTACGTGAAACTGGTACCCATGGCTAGTATATTTATATATGTAATACAACCGCATCACTCATACATTTTTTTAACATCAACTTTTTGTTTGTGTAGCCATTTTTAACATCAACTTTCTGTTTGTGTTTATCAGATGGCTCCCATTCAACATAACACTGGGCAGACATGCCGTCAGTTTTGAAATCACCATAGCAACCATCTTGCTGGATCGGAACGAGTTTCTAGCGATAGACGACATTGAGCTCATTGGCTGTGACCCCGGTAAGTAAGCGCTGGCATTTCTGCCGGCTACATTTCTGCCGGCTACATTTATACAGGCTACATTTATGCCAGCTACATTACTGCCGGCTAAATTACTGCAGTCTACATTTCTGCTGGCTACATTACTGCCGGCTAAATTTTGCCGGCTGCATTTATGCCGGCTACACTTAAACCAGCTAATTTCTTTTTTTTAAACCAGCCAACCAACCAACCAACCAACCCAACCAACCCACCCACCCACCTACCCACCTACCCACCCACCCACCAACCCACCCACCTACCCACCCACCCACCCACCCACCAACCAACCCACCAACCAACCAACCAACCAACCAACCAACCAACCAACCAACCAACCAACCAACCAACCAACCAACCAACCAACCAACCCACCTACCAACCAACCAACCAACCAACCAACCAACCAACCAACCAACCAACCAACCAACCCACCAACCAACCAACCAACCAACCAACCAACCAACCAACCAACCAACCAACCCACCAACCAACCAACCAACCAACCAACCAACCAACCAACCCACCAACCAACCAACCAACCAACCAACCAACCAACCAACCAACCAACCAACCAACCAACCCACCCACCAACCAACCAACCAACCCACCAACCAACCAACCAACCAACCAACCCAACCAACCCACCCACCTACCCACCTACCCACCTACCCACCTACCCACCTACCTACCTACCCACCTACCCACCCACCCACCCAACCAACCCACCCACCTACCCACCTACCCACCTACCCACCTACCCACCTACCCACCTACCTACCTACCCACCTACCCACCCACCCACCCACCAACCAACCCACCCACCAACCAACCTACCCACCAACCAGCCAACCAACCAACCAACCATATTACCCTTATCACTCTGACATAATACAATATGCTAGACCATTCACAGATAGAATCAGCTATTCATCTAGAATATTCGAATATTGTATAAAATAAGGATAATAGTGTTGACATTGCGTTCACCTTACACCGTTCTATCATACGCCATATTGAATGTTTGCCTGTACCTAGAACAACAGACTAAGCAGGCCTACATGTAAACATAACCAATGTATGCATAGCATTCTAATATTCGTAACGTAAACTTACAAATGTACACCATAAACCTACAAATGTACACTATAAACCTACACATGTACGTCATAAACAAACGTACATCATAAACCAACACATGTACACCACAAACCTACAAATGTACACCATAAACAAATGTACACCATAAATGTACACATGTACACCATAAACCTACAAATGTACACCATAAACCTACAAATGTACACCACAAACCTACAAATGTACACCATAAACAAATGTACACCATAAATGTACACATGTACACCATAAACCTACAAATGTACACCATAAACATACACATGTACACCATAAACCTACAAATGTACAAGATAAACCTACAAATATACACCATAAACCTACAAATGTACAAGATAAACCTACAAATGTACACCATAAACCTACAAATGTACACCATAAACCTACAAATGTACGCCATAAACCTACAAATATACACCATAAACCTACACATGTACACCATAAACCTACAAATGTACACCATAAACCTACAAATGTACACCATAAACCTACACATGTACACCATAAACCTACAAATGTACGCCATAAACCTACAAATATACACCATAAACCTACACATGTACACCATAAACCTACAAATGTACACCATAAACCTACACATGTACACCATAAACCTACACATGTACACTATCTCAGTACACATTTCTTGTTGCTTGTTTCAGTGCCCAAGCCACCGCCCAACTGCCCCAGTGAGTCGCCATTTTATTGTGCCGGCAGCGGCGAGTGCCGGTCACGTGACCAGCTGTGTGACCGGAACCAGGACTGTATGTGTGGGGAGGATGAGGCGGAGGATCTGTGTGGTGAGTGTTGACATGTGGGTGTGTGGGTGTGTGTGGGGGAGGATGAAACGGAGGATCTGTGTGGTGAGTGTTTTACCTGCTGACATATGTGTGTATGTGTGGAGTGGAGCCTGTGTGGTGTTTTACCTGCTGACATATGTGTGTATGTGTGGAGTGGAGCATCTGTATGGTGAGTGTTTTATCTGCTGATGTATGTGTGTGTGTGTTGGGATTGGGGTGGGGTGGGAGTGGGGGGGGGATGAATGATTTGTGTTGTGAGTTTATTAATTCATTTTATGTTTCCCAAATATTTTAATTGACGATGATTCTTACAGCGGCAAAAAAAATGAAAATATTGCTAATAAATTATCAATTGGTCATTCTTTTCTATTTCAACTTTCTATGGATACTTCAACTCAGAAAGTCTAAAACAAAATTCTTAAACAAAAAGTCGAACACAAAAAGTCGCACCCAAAAAGTCGCACCCTAAAAGTCGCACCCAAAAAGTCGCACCCTAAAAGTCGCACCCAAAAAGTCGCGCCCAAAAAGTCGCACCCAAAAAGTCGCACCCTAAAAGTCGCGCCCAAAAAGTCGCACCCTAAAAGTCGCACCCAAAAAGTCGCGCCCAAAAAGTCGCGCCCAAAAAGACGCACCCAAAAAGTCGCACCCTAAAAGTCGCGCCCAAAAAGTCGCACCCTAAAAGTCGCACCCTAAAAGTCGCGCCCAAAAAGTCGCACCCTAAAAGTCGCACCCAAAAAGTCGCGCCCAAAAAGTCGCGCCCAAAAAGTCGCGCCCGAAAAGTCGCACACTAAAAGTCGCGCCCAAAAAGTCGCACCCTAAAAGTCGCACCCAAAAAGTCGCGCCCAAAAAGTCGCGCCCAAAAAGTCGAACACAAAAAGTCGAACACAAAAAGTCGAACACAAAAAGTCGCACCCAAAAAGTCGCACCCAAAAAGTCGAACACAAATCGTATTAACCTCTCCAGCCAAGTGTACCACACTCACAGTGTTCCCGTTAAAAATGCCGGATTGTCTTGTCCGTGACGTTTTGCCGGCTGACACCGAAACCGTTAAAGAAAGAAGCCGATATTGGATTAGGGAAGCTCCAATTGGATTAAAGAAATATTGATTGGATTAAGTCTGCATGGGTTATAGATTGGAGAAGTAAACCGGCGAGCATCCAACTTGCGTCACGTTCTAAACTAGACGAGGGATGAATGAACTTTAAACCTGTGGTTTACTGAGGGGGGGGGGGGGGATGGGGCGTGGTGGAATTTTTATGTCACGTGTCTGTTTTTCGTCAAAATTGCCTGTTTTGCATGCGATTGCTTTTTTTGAGACATATAATTTATGGCTTACATTAAGAATACGATGGTAGTTAGACGTGTGTTTCTACTGGTGAAATAAATTGTTCATTTCCATTTTATAATAGCATGCAGCTTATTAGTTTATATTGTATACAGGCTGTTGGAGGAAATATTTGAAATGCTGAGTTTTATACAGGCTGTGATTACAATTATTTGAAATCCTGATTTTTATACAGGCTGAAGCAGGAATTATTTGAAATGCTGAGTTTTATACAGGCTGTCATTGCAATTATTTGAAAAGCTGAGTTTTATACAGGCTGTAGCAGGAATTATTTGAAATGCTGAGTTTTATACAGGCTGTAGCAGGAATTATTTGAAATGCTGAGTTTTATACAGGCTGTCATTGCAATTATTTGAAAAGCTGAGTTTTATACAGGCTGTAGCAGGAATTATTTGAAATGCTGAGATTTACCCACGAGAGATAGGGGCTGTACCAGCAATGACTTTAAAAAACTGGATGATGTAGAAGCTCTTCTTGCAATCACCACTGATGCACCACGGTCGTATACACTCGGTCTGGGTTGGCGATAAAGACGATTAGAGAGTCAACCTAGGTCAAGGTTGGCTAAATATAAAACAAATGTGTCATGTGACCACGGCGGAAGTTTTTTGTGACGTTTTCTGAAGAACTCGTCGTTTTATGTCTGAACGGCTGGTGTCTTGTAGTAGTGGGATGTGAAGGGGGGGGGGGGGGGGAGAAGAAATGGCACAATTGGGCAGGGGGGGGGGGACGGCACTGATGGAATGGCACTGTGGAGGAGTGGCTCTCTAGGGCAGGGGCTCTAATGGGGAGACAATCCCAGGGTTCTGCTTGATGGGATATGGTGTCCTTCCGGTCTGTCTTTATGACAGGCATTTCGAAACTCTAAAGGGCAGATAACTCAGTCTAATAAAGAATTCTCCCCCTGTTGAATGGGCAGATAACTCGGTCATTCAAAGATGTTCTCCCTTTGTTGAGTAGGAAGATAACACCGCAAAGTTGACTGTGCTTACAAATGACAGCATCAATGTTATTGTTCTTACAAAGTCAACTGTTTTTACCTCACTATCTTTAACCTCATTATGTCTTTTCATTAACCTCACTAACTCTTTTCATTAACCTCACTAAATCTTTTCATTAATCTCACTATCTATACCAAATCAGGCTTACATCAACTATTGTTATATTATCAAGGCATTTTTCTATTCTTTTATAAAAATCAAATAGCGATTTGCCAATATTTTAACGACAGAAACCTCTAAACACCAAGAGATACCTACCCTGTATCCCCCCTCCCCATAAACACCAAAAGTTACCTACCCTGTATCCCCCCTCCCCTAAACACCAACATATACCTACCCTGTATCCCCCCTCCCCTAAACACCAACAGATACCTACCCTGTAACCCCCCTCCCCTAAACACCAACAGATACCTACCTTGTACCCCCACCCCAAACACAGTTTCCTACCCTGGAATCCACCCCCTAAACACCAACAGTTACCTACCCTGAAACGCCCCCCCCCCCCTTATCACGACCAACACAGTGAGTTATCTACCCTACCACTGAACGTGTAGATAACCTGAGTTACTTTAGTGGCCAGATTTATCAAACTCTGCCCCCCCCCCCCTCCTAATGGCCACACCTGTAAACAAACACCGCCATCTTTCCGCCATCGCTCTGTTTTATCTAATGTCTCTTCTCGGAAAAAAAATTCCTCTGATCATAGACATCTAAGACGAGAGAGTCTCATCTACTTCCTGTTGGACGAGGCCGATAACGAGGGTAATGTTGACGGTACCAGACCCCGACACTGTGCCATCCTCTCAGATCACGTGTCTGGCTTAGATCAGGGCATCTGTTTACCATTTGTCGGATCTTTTGATTACCTTTAGTCCATTCTTTATGAATACCTTTTGTCGGACGTTTTGAAGTTAATCTGCCTACAGTTTACAGTCTCTTACTTCATCCCGTATCACATAGGCAAGTATTAATTACACCGGGCAATAATTAAGTCCCACATTAACTAACCTGCGTATTATTAAACCCAATATTACTTGAACCCAGTATTAGTTAAACTTCGAATTGTTTATAACCAGTATTAATTAAACAAAAAATTAATTAGACCCAGTATTAATTAAACCCAGTATTAATTAAACCCAGTATTAATTAAATCCTGTATTAATTAAACCAATAATTAATTAAACCCAGTAATAATTGAACCAATAATTAATGAAACCTAGTATTAATTAAACCAAATATTAATTTAACCCAGTATTAATTAAACCAATAATTAATTAAACCAAGAATTAATTAAACCAATAATTAATTAAACCTAGTATTATTTTTACCCAGTAATAATCAAACCCATTAATTAATTAAACCCAGTATTAATTAAACCAATAATTGATTAAACCAAGTATTAATTAAATCAATGATTAATTAAACCCAGTATTAATTAGACAAGCAGAACAATGAACAGTTTTTTCCCCCCAGAAGAATGTCAACACACCCCCTCCTTTCGGGATGAAATAGAAAAATTGTATAGGCCTAATACTTAAAGAAAATATTTGTTAACAAGTGCCCCCCCCCCCCCCCCCCCGGTGGGAAAAATCTGTCTGGGGAAGAAAAAACCACTGGCAACATATACATTTATTCTCAGTCGCTGTAGTCAAATTGATTTCAGTAGAGTCACGCAATACCACATTCATGTCAACAGCAACTTCATCTTCATCTCATATAATTAGACTTCTCTTCCTTCCATTGTTCACATTACAGTATTCATTCTTAGATAACATTAGAATCATCAGCTTTTTATCTAATCCAGTCTATGAGTGATGTCTAACTAAATATACATTTTCTTTAAATATGTAGGCAGACATAGGAATGATGGCTAACTAAATATACATTTTCTTTAAATATGTAGGCAGACAAAGGAATTATGGGTAACTAAATATACATTTTCTTTAAATATGTAGGCAGACAAAGGAATTATGGGTAACTAAATATACATTTTCTTTAAATATGTAGGCAGATAAAAGAATGATGGGTAACTAAATATACATTTTCTTTAAATATGTAGACAGACAAAAGAATGATGGGTAACTAAATATACATTTTCTTTAAATATGTAGACAGACAAAGAAAAAAAAACCCATTGTGACCTTATGTTGCAAGTACGAAGTTAATGCTCAATCTGAGTCCATTTGTCTCTTGCCTGATAAGCGTGTCTGGAAAACCTACCCGGCAACATCCCGATTACCTGGCCAAACGTACAGCGGAAGATAATGCCTCAGCTTGCAGTGGTCAAAATATCCTTTTGTTCATGCCTTGAAGATTTGAGCGTTTGTTTGTATTGTAAGCCGCGAGCTTATGCCAGATAAAAATGTCGAGAGCGAGACAAAACATGAGGGATTTGGTTTTGTGTGGGATACCTCGGTAGTCATACTGTAATGAGTATTTCTTTACAATTTCAACTTAATTTTGTAGAGTAGGTTGTCACACCCCATCCAATGCGGCTCACCCGAGAGAGAGACAGAGGCAAGGCGCGTTTTAGAACTCGCATGTTTTATGTGTGTGATACGTCACCAAACCTTGTGTGTTGTGTGATACGTCATCAAATCTTGTGTATGTGTGTGATATGTCACCAAACCTTGTGTATGTGTGTGGCACGTCAC